AGCAAGGTTTGGAAAAGTATATGTTACAACTTTATTTTAAACTTTTCTATATTTCAAGTGTCTTTGAAACTTAAGCTCCAGGCCAGCCCATGCCTTGGTGGTCAGGGAGATTGGATCTCACATAGCTGACTATGTAGTTCAAGTCCCAAACTTGATATCTTGAAAAACATGCCAGGACCATGTGCATGCATGCCCAAAAAATTCTGAAAGGAGGGAGAGTTGGAGGAAAAAGAATTGAGGCATGATCATGCCCCATGGAGGTGTGTGTGTGTGTGTGTGTGTGTGTGTGTGTGTGCTGTTTTTTCAATCTCTCACACACACCCCTACCCCTGTCTCTCTCGGGTGAGTACTTGCACCCACCAGCAAAGTTTAAAAAAAAGAAAAAGAAAGAAAAGAAAAGCTCTGTGAAAAGAATTATGTTACCCTTGAAGGAAGGTGATAATGCCAAAGGTCAGTCCGTGAAAAGCAATTTTAACTTTAGTGTTAAATGAATAAACTGAGTTTGGCATGTACATTACAAATAAGATTGGCTCCAGCATTAAAATGCAAAGTACTAAGAAAGAGAAATGTAAAATAAAGTAGAAAAGCAATTCCTAGTTGGGTAGAGAATCCTACTCTCCATTAGCTTCTCAACAATGCCCCTGGTAGATGACAAATACGTGAAGGAAAAAGAAAAAGACTCCAACAGATGTGGATTCTCATGACTGAGATATTTGACGTTTGCAAATGAACAATGTCTTCGTCTGTTCCTGTTGCAATAACAAAATACCTTAGACTGGATAATTTACCACAACAGAAATTTTTTTTTTTTTTTTAGAGGTTTTCGTTATAGGGCGCGTGCACTCGCCAGACAGACAGAGACAGACAGAGAGACAGAAAGCGAGAAATCACCCCCGGGGGGATGGTCACGCCGCAATCCCTTCTCCATTCTCCTCTCAGGATCTTGGGCATGCACGCACACGCGCCCGGCGTGAGTTTTAAGCCACCGGGTCCGGGACGCGAACCGCAGTCGACTATGTGGGAGTCCAGTGACATAGCCATTACACTAACTGCTGGTTCCCACCACAACAGAAATTTATTGCTCCAGTTCTGGAAGCAGAAAGTCTAAGATCGAGGTGCTCACAGATTCAGTGTCTGTTTTTTTTTTTTTTTTTGGAGAGATTTTCACTGTAGGGCGCGTGCGCTCGCCAGACAGACAGAGAAAGACATAGAGACAGAAAGCGAGAAATCACCCCCCAGGGGGGATGGTCACGCTGCACTCCCTTCTCCATTCTCCTCTCGGGATCTTGGGCACGCACGCACACGCACCAGGCGTGAGAGTGTCTGTTGAGGGCTTGCTCAGCTTCATAAATGACATCTTTTTGTCACGTTTTCATATGGCAGAAGGGGCAAAGACTCTCTCAAACCTCTGTTACAAGGAATGTATTCTCTCTCATGAGGGTGGAACCAACAGGATTTACTCATAATCTAAAGACTCCACCTCTTAAAGTCATTGCAGTGGAGATTACGTTTCAATATTTTGGAGGGACACAAGTCTTCGAACTGTAGCAAGCATCAAAGAATTCTTCAGTTCAGTCTAAAAGTTATGAAAAGAACAACTTCAAGCATTAAATGTTAGAAGTAGGGCCCAGCAGTGACATGGTGGTTGGGGCGCTGGGCTCCCATATGGCTGACTACAGTTCAAGTCTCAGGCCTGGTGGCTTGCTTTCTCATTTTCCCTTTTTTTACTGTCTCTCTCTCTGTTTCTCTCTGGTGAGTGTGCATACCTGTAACAATTTAAAAGTAATGATAAAGATAAATACAATTAAATAATTCTTTAAAAATTCAGAAGTAGATCGTGTATCATTTCAAAATTAAAATGCCAAGTGGGGCCCAGAAAATGGTGTAATGGTTATATCCCTGGACTCCCACATAGTTGTCCATGGTTCAGACCTGGCAGCTGAAAACTCAGGCTGGGAACATGTGCGTGCGTGCCCAAGATCCCGAGAGGAGAATGGAGAAGAAAGGATTGCAGCGTAGCCATCCCCTCAGGGGGTGATTTCTCACTTTCTGTCTCTCTCTATTTCTCTGGAGGGTGCATATACCCTATAACAGAAATCTCTCTCTAAAAAAAAATAATAAATAAAAATAAAATAAATAAAAGGCCAAGTGATGTTGCAGGGGTACTACAACTGGACCACAGGGGAAGATGCTAGGTTTGTGTCCTAGACCTCCCTGTGCACCAGACATGTGCTGAGGCTGTAGGTATATTGTGATGTGAAGACCCTGTTGGGGGACCAGCAATTAGCACAATGGCTACGTAGCTGGACTCCCATATAGTCGACTGTGGTTCAAGTCACGGACCGTGTGGCTTAAACTCATGCCGGGTGAGTGTGCGTGCGTGCCCAAGATCCCAAGAGGAGAATAGAGGAGAAAGGATTGAGAAAGAGAAAGAGGGAAAGTGAGAAATTGTCCCCCAGAGTGGTGGTCATGCCACAATTCCTTCACCTCCATTCTTCTCTCAGGATTTTGAGCACACACACATGCTCAGCATGTTCTTCCAAGGCACCAGCTCCAGGACTCAAACTGTGTACTTGGCCATGTGGTATCTAGCCGCCTTAACCATGAGCCACCTGGCTGGCCCAGAAATAATATTTTGAGGGAAATAGTTAATTTATTGCAAAGAGTAAGCTGTCCAGAGGGGTATCCATGCATTCTAAGTCTCCCAAAGTTTCTAAGGCTGGAATGTCAGCAACTTCGTGGAGGCCTGGTCCAGCTACTCAGCTGGTCTGGAGCAACCCACCCTCTCTTTGTCTACCTAATATTTCCTCATCCTAAAAGAGAGAGTCTAACTAGGTCTGTTTGTCACTATCTAATCAGGACCCCTAATATTAGGTATAGAGCTTCATGCCAAGTGGCTTCAGAAGCAGATGTGCCACCTCACGTACAGCTCAAACATGGGTTTTGTTGTCTTGAGTCTCACCATGACAAACGGATTCCTGTTCTCATCAGTTGAACCCAATGTTGTGGTGTTGCCTTCATCCACTGTACAAAACACAGGCCATGGCACCTTGTTTGCAAAAAGAGTCTATAGCTTGGGGCCCGCAGATGGTATAGTGGTTATGTCACTGGACTCTCACGTGGCCGACTGTGGTTTGAGTTCCGAACCTGGTTGCTTGAAAATTACACCAGTTATGTGTGTGTACATGCCCAGGTTCTCGGGAGAAGGCATTGCAGTATGGCCATCCTCCTGAGATGATTTCTCACTTTCCTTCTCGTTGTCTCTGTCCTCACTGTCTCTGTTTCTTAAGGCAAAAATCTCTAAAAAAAAGAAAATCTGTTTTGTGATAGGGGACTATAGGCATGTTAGTCTTAGAGAGCCATGGGCCCTCCTTCAGCAAGTCTTTGTTTAGGGGATTCACCCAATTATTACTATTATTTTTTTGGAGAAATTTTTGCAATAGGGTGTGTGCGTTCGCCAGAAAGACAGAGAGAGACAAAGAGACAGAAAATGGGAAATCACCCGCCGGGGGGATGGCCGCACTGCAACCCTTTCTCCTCCATTCTCCTCTCGGGATCTTGGGCATGCATACACATGTGCCTGGTGTGAGTTTAAGGGTCTGGGACTCGAACCGCGGTCGACTACATGGGAGTCCAGCAACATAGCCATTATGCTAACTGCTGGTCCACACCCAATTAATTTTTAAAACTGGTTAATGACATTACATATGCTGAGCGCTATTGTTGACATTCAGCATTCATCCCATAGCTATATTCAGCCAGACTGTGGATATGCTGTGTGACAATCTCTTAATGTCACTCATTCCAAGTGGCCTTATTTAGAGAGGTAGAGAGGTTGATAGGCTGTTTCCAGGGGAGTCCTCCTTACTATATATAATATATATATATAATATAGTATAATATATATAAATATATAACATAATATATATAAAATTATATATATATAATTTAAAAAAATACATTTGTACTTTAATTCCACTTTTTCACAGATTTTTTTTCCTCTTTCTTTTTGAGAGATTTTTGGTACAGGGCATATACACTTACCAGAGAGACAGAAAGTGAGAAATCACTGCCCCCCCCCCGGGGGGGATGGCCACACTACAGTCCCTTCTCCATTCTCCTCTTGGGATTTTGGGCACGTGTGCACATGTGCCTAGTATGAATTTCAGGCTTCCAGATCCAGGACTTGAACCAGAATCAGCCATGTGGGAGTCCAAGTCCAGATCCTTATCCACCATGCTATCTACTGGCCCCCACTATATATATACACATGTATGTATGTATATATATACATGTATATATACACATATATACATGCATGCATATATACATACATGTATGTATATATATGTGTGTATGTGTATGTATGTTAGTTTATTCAGAACTTATCTTTTTAGGAATTGATTCCTAACAATCCCACTCGGAAGACACTGATTTGTCCCCTCCTGACCAAATGATTATTCTATCTAAGAGAATACAGCTGGCAAATGATCCTGATCACATGCACAAGTACTTCCTCCCAGTGGAAAGGCATTCCCTGGAGATCAAATTAAAGATCAGAAGTCCTGGCAAATATTGAATTAGACCAAAGGGAATTGAGTGTTCTTTTCTTTTTTAAAAAAGAATTATTTTACTCAACTTTATCATTATTATTATTTTAATTTGACCAGAGAAAGACAGAAAGAGAGAGGGAAAGTGAGAAAGCAAGCTACCAGGTCTGAGACTCAACCGTAGTCAGCCATGTGGAAGTCCAGCAGCTTTAACCACCATGCCACCTGCCAGCCCCAGGAACTAAGTATTCTGAAGGGATATATCTAAAAGATTCAGGAGACCTGAAGGAATAAACTTCTTTCCCTGTAGTCTGGAAAACTGATTTGGATTGTTCAACCTCAAAGCTCTTGAAGAATTTTATCACCATCTTTGTTTCAATTAACTAACTTCTTGCTCAATTTCTCTTCCATTTATTCCGTTAGCAGCACAATTTGGAGTTGAGAAGATCTTGGTTCAAATCTCAGCAGTGGTGCCTGCTGTATGATTGTGAACAGCTTTCACCCATCTTTGAACCTCAAGATCTTCATAGTTGAGATGGAGAAAATCCACAAGTTGTTGGGATGAACAATTAAAAAGTGAAGGTAAAATTTCTTGCACTTGCCTGACACACAGTAGCTGCTCAACAATTGTAGCTATTATCATTTACATACTCATGTGGGTTTAATTGTTCTTACTGAGATTTGAGAGTACTCCAAGGTACATCACCCACAAATGTATAAAACATCTTTAAAAGCTTGTTACTTCTTTAAAATGTTAATCTAGGTGACTCTATAGCTCAGTGGTTATGCATTGTACCTAAGGAAACGGGTCCCACATGGTCAACTGTAGTTTGAATCCTGGTCCTAGTGGCTTGAAAAACATGCTGGGATGGGGCCAGCAGTTGGCGTAATGGCTATGTCGCTGGACTCCCATGTAGTTGACTGCGGTTCGAGTCCCAGACCTGGTGACTTAAACTCACACCAGGTGTGTGTGCGTGCGTGCCCAAGATACCAAGAGGAAAATGGAGGAGGAAGGGACTGTGGCATGGCCATCTCCCCTGGGGGGTGATTTTTTGCTTTCTGTCTCTCTGTCTCTCTCTTTCTGGCGAGCACAAGCGCCCTATAGCAAAAACCTCTCCAAAAAAAAGAGAAAGAAAAACATGCTGGGTGCATATGCATGTGTGCCCAGAATCCTGAGAGGTTGAAGAAACAGAGGAAAGAGGATTATGGTGTGACCACATCCCATTGGGAGTGTGTTCTCTCTCTCTCTTTCCTTCTCTCTCTCAAGCACATGTGTCCTCTGGCAATAAAAATAAAATAGGGCCAACTTTATGGTGCAGTGGGTAAGCATGGCGTGAAGGGAGCCAGATCCCACTTGGCAGACCTTAATTCAAATTGCACCCTGGCAGCTTGGGCATAGGTGATCACGCCCTAGATCCTGAAAGGAAGGGAGGAAAGGGGATCGTGATGTGCCCAGACCCCATTTGGGGGCATTCTTTCTCTCTGGTGAGCAGAAGCACCCTCTGGCGTTTAAAAGGAGGAGGAAGAGGAGGAGGAGAAACATTAAGAAATAAATAAAAAGTAAAAGATGAATCGCAAGTTAGTGATACCATTGTGGTTATTTATGTATGTATTTAATTTAGACAGGACCTCACTACATCCAGCCCTTTCTACCTCAGCCTCCCAAGTAACTGGCACTTCAGACCCACACCACCTCACCAGGCTTTTTAGGGAACTGAACCCAGACCCCCCCATACGGCCTTAGCCTGCCGAGTGCTCACCAGCATGTGCTAACGTGACGGGGCCATTGTGGTTAGTGTTATGGTGATGGCTTTTTATCCTGGTTTTCAGAGTGACATTTTAGGACCTCATCCCTAATCGTGAGGATACATTCAGTGTGGGGCTCACAAGCCATCCAAGAACTGTATGAAATTTAGTAATGTCTGTGGGGCTTCCATTGGCCAGATATTTGAGATCCAAATCTTCTGTGGAACAGACTCTAATAGAGATGGGCAAACTCCCTACCATAAAATTTTAAAAAAAGAAAAAAAAAAAAACAAAAAAAAAAACCAAAGGAGCATGTCCTTTAGGAGATCTCTTAGAATTCTCTCCGTTTATTCTCTTCGTTGGGAATTGTAGCCGGTCTATTGTGCTGTTTCACAAAGAGTGGGTAAACTCATTAAAGTTTTTGGATCCTAAATTACTGAACTATTTCTCCAAAGTTCAAATGGCTTTGATTTCTTTATTCCTTTTGGAAGCTTTGTACTTTTCAAAACACTTCATTGTGAGAATGGAAGCATCTGATACAAGATTGGATATGATTATATGAACTTTGAGAACATAAAGCATATCACTTTTTTTTTTAATTTCTGAAAAAGTATTACCAAAGGAAAGAATTTGAATTCTGTCCAGAAAGAGTATCTGATTTATTCGGACTTTGGATAAACTCAAGCCATACATGTTTGACCAAGAGTCTAATTTTCAGACTGATCCTCCATCTCTGAGAAGGACTAGCCTTCAGAAAGGATGACAGTGTCAAGAATCCTATTTGGGCATTAAGTGTGTTTCTGGATGGATAAATACTCAAGTCAAACAAAGAAATCCTTCTTATCAAGAGGGTGGGAAGACCAGATTCTGTGGTGCAGCCAGTAACTGCTAGATTTGTGGAGCTTGAAGACACATGCTGACTGGGGTTCGAGTTCTTGGGGTTTGATCAGCCTGAAAAACGTGCCTTAGGACCTGTGCCTACATGCCCAGCACCCTGGCAGGTTAGAAGATTGGAGGAAGGGCTCATGACTGAGCCCTTGTTTCTCTCTCTCTCGTTCTCTCTCTCTCTGTGTCTTTACAGCACAGGCATGCACTTTATTATGAATGAACAACAAAAGGAGGATGGGAATATGAGTACTGAGCAACTTGTGGATGTTAGTTGGTGACATTTTGTTTGGATGAAAGTGCAAAGCAAGTGGCGGATTATAGAGCAATCCCCGGAAGGCCAGCCTGGGGGGAGCAGGGCGGAGCAAGGGCAGGCAGCCAGCCTCCTTTCCAAGCCTGCGTTTCCTCCTTGTCACAGTCGGGAAGGACCTGCCGCACACGTGAGCATGTACCCTGACAGAATATTTACACCCCACTCTCTCTTTCTTCGGAGCTCTTTCTTTTGTGTGTCCATTTTCTTCCTTTTTCTTTTAAAATCTTCCCAAGAGAGTGCATGTTCTCCTCAGAGAGAGGGAAGGGAGAAAGCAAGCCCATGTGGCATGGTCACACAGCAATCTCTTCTCCTCCATCTCTCCTTCATTTTGGGATTTCAGGCACACACATATGCCTAGCGTGTTTCTCAAATCATCAGGTCCAGGAAGCAAAGCACAGTGTCAGCCTTGTGGGATCCAACTGAATCAACCACCAAGCAAGCCATGGAGCCAGCCTCCTCTTTCTGGTTTTCTAAAGACACAGAAGGAGCATCAGATCATTGCTAACTCTAATTTCTTTCTTCAATGCTTTGTGGCCTCTCACTGCCTCTGCCCTTTCCAAGGGCGGCTGCTCACCTTCCCTGGAACGAGGCTCAGGTGCCTGTAGGCAGCAGGGTCATCTCCAAGGCATAGGTGGGAACTAGGCTGAGAGCAGCCAGGTGGAGGAGACGCTCAAGTTAAGATGGGTTGTTGGGACTGCTGCTAGTATTCAAAGCTGAGTGTAAAAAATCAGGGAATCTGGAACATCCCGTCCATTCATTTAATCAACAGATAATTATTGATGGCTAGTGGGTGTCAAGGACATGTAGACAAATCAATATACACTGACAAGTGATCATTTGTGTCTGGACACAAATAGGGAGCAATGGGAGAGACTATTGGAAGTAGCAGGGGAGAGTGGGAACCATTTAGAGAGGGTGGTCAGAGATGGCCTCCCTGGACGAGACCTAAAGGATGAAGAGGAGCCAGCTCTCCAAGGATAGAGAATTCAGACCTGGGAAAGTCTTAAGGGGAGAGAACATGCAGGGATTTCAAGGGAATGAAAGGAAGCTAGTGCACCTGAAAACCGCTGTGACCGCTGTGAGGGAAGGTCAGTGAGGTCTTAAGATCGGGGGTTGGCCAGAGGTTGGGAGATGGGAAATCAGGGATGGCAAGACAAAGGGCAAGGTATGCAGGATGTAAGAATTGGAAAATTATTTGCTGAGAACATGTATGTTGATGTGCTTGATTGAACCAATGCACAGTGTATTTTGGATGGAAAATTCATTTGTGTGTTGTGATGGTGTATAGTGAATTAATGTAGAAAATTAAAAAAAAAAAAAGATCAGGGGTTGGCTTTTATTCTAAGTACAATGGAGAGCCATGGACTGTGTGCCTTCCTGTGTGTGTGTGTGTGTAAATGCATGTGTGCGTGTGCATGGGTCTGACATATCACGTGGATCACATGGTGGAGACCTGTGAGGAGGTTCCTCACCAGAATTGGTAGTTATGACCTCCTGGTCCCCATTTCAGCCTTGGCAGAAACCTCAAGAAGTCATTCAAACGTGTACACACGCTTGTCCACTGGCACGGGACAAGATATCAGCACAGCTATTTCTTTCAGTTCCAGAGACGTGACCAAATGGCTTGTATTGGGTAGTATGTCCTGATTTAAAAAAAACAAACAAACACATTTATATATTTATTTCCTCCATGTAAGAGAGAGAGAGAGAGCTGGACCTCCCAACAGAGTCTTCCTACCCAGTCCACCCCCGGTCGCAGCCAGCCTGGTTCGCGGGCATTCACATGTGCCTGACGTGTTCAGAGAGGTCCCGGATGCAAACCCAGGTCCTTTCTTGTGCAGATCTGGCGCGGTGCTGCTGCACCACTGCCTGGCCCTATCCTGATCTTTAATGTCCAGTCCCTCATTGGGGTTCCTCATAAAGCCCCTGGCTGATGTGTTTTTGTCCCATGCTGAGTGAGTCTTGCCCTCTTTACTCCCTCCTCTGTTCCTCCTTTCTTGACCTCCTCTGCCTCTCTTCCCTCTCCTCTCCTCTCCCCTCCCTTCTCTCTCTGCCTTTCTCATTACCAGTCAGGGTTACTTGCCAAACCACAGCTCTTAGATTTCTATTTTCCCAAACAGATTTCTTGGCTGGTTTTATAGACTTTTGTAATTGGTTCTTCTTCTTCCATCTAGTCCCTTCTGTTTCCACTCACCTCTCCTAGACATTCTCTTCCCTACTCTCCCCTCCAGCAACAAGCCTAACCCTTAGGCTGCAAAGTTTCCATTTTTTAAAGAAGAACCATAAAAAGAAGCCACGAAGGAGTTAACCTCAGTGACATCAGTCTCTGGTCATCGGTAGGGTGAGGGGCAGTTCTTGAAAACCAGACGGAACAGAAGGTATCATTGTGCAACATCCCTTCTGTGGCTCCCTGCGCCCTCTGAGTCAGGATAATGAGAGAGCATTCTTAAGGCATGACTTCACCATGCTGCTACGTCCTCAGATTCCTGGATGTGTGTGGAGTGGGCTCTCCCAGCAAGCCTGAGCACAGACGTGTGAGGCGGGCTTGTTCGCACTGTTCTCAGCGGTGCTACCTTTACAAAGCCACCTTCCAAACCAGTGAGTTCACATTGAAATACGTGTTCTTAAAAAAAACAAG